TTATAATACTTGTAATATATTGAATCATTGTACTCACAATTTATAACCGAGTACTGCCCAACTCTGAAAGTAAAAACATGCATTCCCATAAAGTGAGGTTATTCCATCCTGAATTAACTGATAAAAAAAATATCATTATAAAACTTCTTGAAAATCACCAAGAGATTTATTTATGCGTTATTATTTAGTCAATTGAAACACCCATATAAATTAAACATAAAATATTTTCTTCTCCACATCTGCCTTGTGCACCAACATAAAGTTCTCCTAACGAAACTATTAAATCGTTTTTGTTAATACCTATGGCAAACTAAGTATCATTCTTTCAATAAAAATTTTTGTTTTATTTTTGTCATTATTTTGTTTCCATATCTCCAGTTTCCAAGATGATTTGTTTCTTATATGTACTGTTAGATTTCCTTGTACTGAATCCCAGAGACATTTTAAGGTCTTTCGAAAAATCCGCAATATCTTCAATCTTTATTTTTTTTACTGTTAATAAGGATGTTGAGGCTCCTCATTTATAGATTTTGAGTATGTTAATCGATATTTTCTTAAATATATTAGTAAAAATTATATTCTTCAAATCACAATTAATAATCATTATAGTTAGAATACAGTTAATTGAGGAACAGCATATTGCACTGTTAGTGTAAAAGATCGTATACAAATTTTTTTTTTTTTTTACAAAAGAGCAATACAAATTTTTTTTTTTTTACAAAAACTGAATATTTCTTTATGATTTATTAGTACACATGAATATTTTATTTTCCATAGTAGCAGACTATTTATTTCAGTTGCTGACTACAAAATGTTATCTTTAGCAAAAATGGAATTAACATAGAAAATTGTTACATTCAACCTTTTGCACTAACATTAGCGAAAAACCTTACTTCAATTAATAATCAAGTAAGAAACAATAATACAACGGAATAGTCGAGCTATAATTAAAAATAAAAATTGTAAATTCATAAAGTTACCATCTAACATTAATCCATTACAAATTTAATTCTATCCGCATATAATTTAAGAATGCTTGGTAAAAATTATATTTCGTAATATCCATCTGTTATTTTTATACATGACTGTGCCCTCGAGCCAAAAAGGTGTTAATTGGAATTTCATCTGTGTCAATTAATATTTGCTTGTCTTGATACGTTTTAAATTTCAGAAGGCCATATCTGGATAAACCTAAAGGCAAACATGAAAAAAGATGCCTATAATTGTTTAACAAACCAATTAACTTTAATTAAAAATTTATTTGAATTTCATGATCATTTTAAATAGTAGAAAGGTCTGAATGATTTGTTTTAATGTATATATATATATATATATATATATATATATATATATATATATATATATATATATACATTAAATATATATAATTTAAAAATATATATATATTTAAAAAATATATATATATAACTAATATATATATATATATATATATATATATATATATATAATGATTTACCATCAACCAAGTAGTAATTGAAATAACTTTCAACATTTCATAATGATCATTTTATAGTTAAATAATCAATTATAGTTTTTTCAAAAAATAAAATATTTTATATCCATATTTTTACGTACCGAATTATTAAATTATTGAATTTTAATTTTAATTCCCAGTAACCTTGTAGATAATAAGTTGCATTGAATGGAGATAGAAGATTTCTTTTTATTTTATTGTATGAGATATGACTGAGATCCTAAATTATTTTCAGTATGTTTGAAACAGTTTTTTAGAAAATGCATTTAATCGGCGGAAAACCGACACTGGTGTAAGGTACCTATGATGAAGATGGAACGCAATAAATGACTCAGGCCATTCTAGCTCTTTTATTTTATCAATTATTTATAGCTCTTATTATTTATATCAATTCGTATATCCATCCATGTATCCTACTCCTTCAAAATAATGATTTAAATAAACGGTTACTTCACTAACTGTCATAAGGCAGGTTATTAAATACATAAACATTAAATACATAAAAAATTAGCAACATTTCGAAGTTTCGAAAATTTCGTTCACTTTATTTCCTATTTTGGTATATATTTTTTTAAATTCAATTTCAGTCTCCTGGCTGTGAAAAGTTATCTCTCCCTCTCTCACCAAACCTCTCATCCTCCCTCATCACTCCTTCAAAATGTTAAAATGAATAAAAATTTACTTCACTGAATCATATAGGTTATTGAAGATATAAAGAATAGTGAATATGATCAAACAGGAAAAATAGCTTAAAATTTAAAGTTTGAAAATTTTCTAAAATTTTAAAATTCTGTATCTCGTAAACTATTTTATTTACTGAGCCTATTCTGGTGTTAAGTTGTAGCATATTTAATCTAGTTTAAAACTGTACAGAATATTTTTTGGCGAAAAAGTAAGAAAATCTAGCAGTTTTTGGGGGTGTCAAAAAGTGACCCGGGGAGGATAAAAATAGTTCCCGTCCCGGTGCCAAGGCGTCTTTTAAATACCCGCCCACACCCCCTGGCCCGGGAAAACCCCGTATATCCTTAATGGCGAGGAAAGGGAGGATAAAAAAAAAAAAAAAAAAAAACTTTTCACGAGAAGGTTACTGGGCTAATAACCACCTACAGAATAATAGGAAATTTCATCTTTCTTTATTTGAACCCGCACTTGAGTGTGAACAACCTAGCCCAAAAACTAAAAATTGTACGAAACTGAAATTATGTATTTAAAGTAGACAAATGTCTGGAATGTTACGGCAACTGTTTCGCCAAAATCGACTACCGGAAGTAGCACTTTATAAAATCGATTCTATACTTTTTTACAATATCTTCGAAAACGGCTCTAACGATTTTTATTAAATTCGCTATATCAATATTAAACTAGGTATTGTCTAATATCAAACAGGTTATCTTCATTGACATAGTTTAGTAAATATTTTTTTCTTAATTTATTGTTTCTCTCGTAAAGTTCTAAAAGTACCTTTATTTCTTTTTTTTTTACTTGAAATGATTAATCCTTTCACATAGTAACTAGCAAAAAAAAAAAAAAAAAGAAAGAATAATATAAAATAAGAACGATTTCGATAACAAGCAGAAAAATAACTGAGAAGTCTTTTAAGGGAAGGTTACGGAAGTGTGATCACCGATTTCACTGAAACTTTTTATGGTGGTAGTAGGTCGAAAAAAAATTTACCAATGTCCTAAGGTTCTTGCCAATGCGTCCTACGAGCAAGGAAAGAAGATTTATAAATTTTAAAATTTATTTGTACCATTGCTTGGCATGGTTTTCTATGTTATAATATACCAACTTTTTTTTTTTTGTAAAATAAGAAAACATATTGATGACTATAATAAACGAGTTAAAATGACGTGACACAGGCCTTTCTCTCAAAATGGAAATAGCTCTTGGGCGACAATCCATGTGGAACGGGAGTCCTCCGGGATAATTGAAGAGATTAAAAAAATCAGTAAAATTATGGTTCACTTCGAACCGTCCTATTCGTAGAGAGGAAGTTGCCTTAACTAGACAAAGGATAGGACATACAAACTCATTCTTACCTGGTAATTAAACGACTTACACTGAAATTCCAATACTGCTACAGTACTCTCACAGTCAGCCACATTTTTCAAGACTGTACCAATAGGTACAGAAATACGTAATAACGTATTAATTTTAACCAACTTAGGACGCATGCCAAAACTATAAAATAGTTTTGAATAATGATGAAGTTAAAATAAGATTGATAATAAATTTTCTCAATGTTACTGATTTCCTAAACAAATTTAAATTTAGTTATTTTTTATATATTTATTTTTATTCAGGTCATTTAAACGAAGATTAGAAAGGCGTTACTGACCACGGGGTTTTACGCCTGGACACCCTAAAGAACAACAACAATGAGTAAAAATATATAAAAATTCCAAACAAAAAACTAATGACGCTTCTAATAAAATAGGCCAAGTAAATATTTGTCATTAAAAATCGATTCAGATTTTTTTCTAGCGTATTTTAAAACTATCGAATACGACTTTGTTTTGAAATCAAAAAATATAAATCACGGCATTTACTAAAGCATCATCAGGATTTTCTTCTAATTCAACGTTTCTACAACAGTTGGAGAGCTTATTTATTGCTATTCCAAACCATATCAATATATTTTAGATTATACGCATTTATTAAGAATAAATAAATGAAAACTTCTACAACTTTCTAATTTTATATGTTCTAATTTGTTTCCGGGGTTGGGTTTGTTCCTTTTCATATAGTCTGAAGGGCCACAAATCTCTGCTAGTATTTTTTTTTTTTTTTTGGACAGTGGGAATCATGTTGAAGTTGCTTCAATTTTTTTTTTTTTAAATTGATGGCTCAACTTTTATTTTATTTGAAAATTTGAACAATTTTTTTTTTTTCCGATTTCTACGAAACTTCACATTTATTAATGCTTTTTTGAGATGCGAAATACAAACATCAAATTTTGTTTCCCCTTAAAAAATAACTTAAACCTCTTTTGCTCCTTCGGTCAGTACTAATTATTTCTCTAGTTTTAGTGCTACAGCGAACAGCAGTAAACGATACTTAGCGACATTGACTAGAAAGTATGAGGCGGGTTGTCGGGTTAAATTGCAGAAGATTCACTCTTGTTTCTTATAGCCAACAGGGTTGTGCAATAATTATGTATTGTGAGAAATCAATAAAATTTAGTCGACAAAAAAATTGTGGAATTAAAAGGTCTTAAGTCTACTAGGTATCAGTTTAGTTATAGAATCGATAAATCTCTTGTTTCGTAAGTTGACTTCTAATCAGTTCTTGTATTTATAATGTTGTGTGCATGTTCCAGTAGAGTCCTCTGATTAATATTACCTAATAGGAAGACTGTAAAGGTGACTTTCAAAGTAATAGCTAAAGTCATTGAAGACGTTGGCAACACTAACGACCGCAGGATGACCACAAGCCCATACATAGCCATCAGCCCAAGGTACGGGCATTAGCCAATAGGAACTAAAGGTTAATGAATTCCCTCAAGATGGGTACCACAAGTACCCCTAATTACGGGTCATCCATCCTGCCTCTGCTGGAGTACGGAGTCCGAACGAGCTTGGGTACAGCTCTCGACCTTCACCCACCGTCGAGTCATCTATATCAGATGTTTGAACAGAATGAACCATATTTCCGAAAAATACGTGTAGTGTTTTCTTCCTCCGGAAATACTGAATGAATCATTGCCTACTATGCTTCGTTCTGAAATGATAGGTATCAGTAATCAGGTTTATGTAAATTATATAATTTTAGTCAAGTAGTGTAAGAATGCTCATCATTCGATTGTTTTCCTCCTTAATTTCCCTAAGTTCACACCTTTCATGGTGCTCTTACTTCGAAAAAGCAATATAGAATGTCTCACTTCTTAATGGCCAAACACTTAGAGGTGCTTCTAGACAAAAATTCCAATAAAATATTTTCGATGTATTGGCCAATTTCGAACGGAAAATGATTCAAGTCCAATCCGTTTTCTCATTCATAGTAAACGATAACTCATAAAGTATTTTATTCAGATAATTAAAATTGTCAAATTAATAAACTACCTACTATGTAGTATTGCGATCGTTAAAATTATCGAATCTGAGTTTCCAACGGCAATACGTGTTTTGAGGTCTGCTGAGTATAAATAACCAAATCCAGCAAAATGTTCTGGGTGTGTGTGTATGTTAACAGTCTAGCTGAAAACGAAAAGTTGTATTATAGTGAAATTGCATATTTAAGGTTTCTAAATACCTGGGATGTTACAGCAACTTTTTAGTGAAAATCGGCTAACCGGAAGTGGTACTTTATATAATCGATTTAATTTATTTTTACGATTTTCTCAAAGGCGGCTTTAATGATTTTGATTAAACACAGCACTACTCAGCATTTCTTAATATAATGTAGGTTTTAATATCATTTATATTATCTAACAGATCCTAAATGTCTAATTTTCAATATTAGCTCCCTCTAAAGTACCTATAATTTTTTTTGTTGGAGATAACTAACCATTTCACATTAATATTTTATCTAACAAATAGTTAATTAAATATAACATATGAAATAGTTTGTTAATTAACTAAAGAAGAAATAAAAGATCGTAACGGCAATACTTATAATGAAGAAACAAAAGGAATACGAGGTTGCCCGAGCTGACAACAGACACCCAAAAGATTACAACAGGCTTCTATACGTTACATGAGCTTAATATAGTACTGACTACTTGAATATTATCTACATATACATATGCGGTTTTCATAAATGCTATCTTTGGTATTCTTTAATAATTAATTGTATAGATTACAGGGATATAAAGATTAAAACTTGTATATACATAAGGGTAATTAAACAAATAAAAATAGGCCTCCCAGCCAATAGCTTCCTCACCAAATTCACCGAAATTTTCCATCGGTTAGAACAATAGAACGAAGAGATTGGGAAAAATCTATATTGAGCCATTTAAGTTTCAATCTCCACAATCACTGAAAATTACATGACATTTTTTGTAAAGCCATTAGGTGACATGCCAGTAATTCATGAACGAAAAAACATCCAGTTTAAATTAATTATCACCCATAAGACACTATTTTTTTTTCATATGACCTTTTGCACTAACAGCCAGTGATATGCATGTTGATGTAGTGACATGCACTTGATTTTTTTTTTTTTTTTTAATCACGAATTAACAAATATGCAATCTGCAAATGTGGAACTTTTTCGTAGGTTAGTATTCTTTGATAAACTAAACAATTATTTTGTGGATATGAAACCCGTACGTGTTGAAGGATTACTGAATTTCCGAAAACGGCTTCATTCAGAGATTTTATTCTCAAACGAAAAATTTTAGACTTTGTAATATAGATATTTTTTTAGCCAATGAAAACGGTGAGGAAGCTATACTGACTTTACTTGGCAGAAGTTTTTTGTAAGGTATTGTCCCTTCACCCCCTGTGTATTATATTTCTTGTATTTATATATTTCTTTGAGAACGGACTACCAGTTGCCATTGAAGAATAGTTGATCTCAACACTTCATAACATGCGAGTTGCGCCCTTCAAAGCGCTGAAAGACCTGGCAGCCGGGTCGTGATGGTAACTAGCCCTTAGCGGAAGGAGGTCGCCCATCCAGTTGCCGACCAGAAGTGCCCTTTCATCGGCAATAAGTGCCAATCCTCGCTGTCCGGCCGTCGGAGATCTGGAGGAGGCCAGCCAACGTGAGAGCCAGTGAGAGGGGCTTTGTTCGCCCGCCGCACGACTCCTCAACGGTGACCTGTTCCCTCTTCCTTATCCCTATCATCTTCTCCTTTCTATCTCATACCTATCCTCTCTATGAATCATACTATTCCATGACAAGAAAAAAGAAGAAAACTTGGTCAACTGCAAATTAAAATTGAATAAAACATGGAAAATTAAGTGTCTAAAACTTTTCATAATTTTTTTATTTTTTGGGGGGGAATTATTCTGGTGCTCTGAACCTTCGAAGATATTTGTTTGGGAGGAATTGTCGAATGATATCAAAAAGTAGTTCTTAATTGCAAGTCTTTTTAATAATAAATATAGTAGAAGGGTTTTGAGACTTCCTTAATATTTCTGGCTGACCTATGAGGAATTCGTGTCAATTTTCAATCTAAGTTACATGTCATTCATTGCATGCTCATTAATAGTGTTGACACTATTACATGAAAATATTCCACGATGAAATTATTAATTATTTCTTCAACCTAATAAAAGAATTCTGCATTTTGAAAAGAATCGAATACCAACAAAAATTAATTATGCAATTATTTCAATGAAATTCGATTATTGTCATTATGCCTTCAAAGATCCAATTTTCGTTTATGAAGGCGACTACCAGGCGCAGTATAGGCGCAGACTACGGCTGGGCAAGGGGAGGGAGGGGGGCGATCGCTCTTCCCCCGAGCCACAGCGAGTCCGGTATTAAATAAAATGTGTTTCATCGATTTGTAAAAAGTGTTGTAACGATTTTTTAAGCGAACCGCTGGATCGATTTATGAGTTTGATGGCCCACATTATTCGATGATATACCCTGTGTGTTTTGATTTGAGCTAAAAATACTGAACCATGATTAAATAAAATGTGTTTAATATATTTTAATTTTTGAAAATCACTGTGTAAATGGTGTTTGATCAATTCGCTAAAAAGTCACGTAAGTTTTGAGCGGATGGCTTGCCCGAGTTTTACTTGAAAGGCTGTTATTACTCAGAGAGATCCCGTGAATGTTTTGAAATGAATTGGAGCACAAATTATTTAGATAATTTTTTATTATAGTTTATCACGTTTTTTTTGTGGAAATAATTTTGTACCTACCATTTTGAACGCCGCCTTGCGGTGAGTTGTAAAAACATTTGATATGAGTTAAACGGCTTAATCAACGAGCATCTCTCGGCACCTTGAGGCCAAGCTTTTGAATAAGGAAGACCAGACTGGAGGAGAGAGCCCTTCATCCTTTAAAGACCAAGTAACATTTTTATATGCTAGCATGAAAGGGTGAGTCATTTTTTATAAACCATATAACCTACCAAATTCAAGAAAAATATAGTCCACTGCCAAATTAATGTCGAATATTGCCTGAGTTAACTCAATAGAGTTATTTGGCTTTTTTTATTAAAGTAGAAAGTTGCCTAAACAACGTTAGCTGCAGTTACAGACACGGCGTATATCAGATTTAATGATTATTTACGTTTGTATCTATCTTTACATGTACATCAATTATTTTTAAAAATGACCATTTTAGAGACTTCGTAAGATAGGTAAAATTCGAAACAATCCCGGCCGAAATTAAGACGAATATCGGAACCTCGGGACTGTACCCGTAGGTAATGTGTTAAGTATCCTGATTATAAATTGATTTGAAATTATATTATGCGATCATTTCGTCGGCACCATGTTAAAGTAACGTTTGCGCAACATTGGACAGGCTCTAATATTTGTTAGTTTAACATGATGCCGACTATATGCTATGAAAATAACTTGTTAACATTTAAATTATCAAAATGTTAAAGTAAACAAATATTTGAATTTAAAAAAATCTTTTGCAGAAGTTGGAAAATTCTATCCGCCCTAAGGGAACGTTCTTTCATATTCACTTAAACATATCAATCTTTGTAGATTGATTTTAAAATTGACATCTACTATTATTTAAACTTGTTGTAGTAGTCGGGTAGCTACCTCCCCCGAACAAAACTCAAGAATTTAGGTGGTCGATACCTATGCAAGCATGTAGATGGAATGAAATCTATTTTTCTGAAGTGGTTATATGTAGTGAAATGTACTCGACTAAATAGTGGCAAAACTAATTTATTAAAAGCCAACGTTTCGACCCTTGTCGAATTTATGGTATATATTTATAATTTATCATTTCATAGATATGGTATTTTCCCTTGCATCCATTCATATCTTCAAATTTTAGATATTGTAATTTTCCAGAGTTTTTTTGTTTGTTTTGATTTTCCCTATTGCCCAAACAGGTCAGGAAATTTTTCCAAATCTACCCTTACCCTGATTTTCCAATTCTATGTGAAACTCCTGGCTGAACACACCTGTAAGTCTCTTATTTTTATTCTCCTATATTTATATACTTATTTATTTATTTTTCGTTTTCTTTTTGTCTCCACATTCCTTTATGTATATTACTTCATATCATATCTTTTTTCCTTTTCTTCCAATTTCTCCTATAGATCTGCAAAAGTATATTCACATTTGCATATATTATATATTACACTTCAACAATTGTTACCATATATTTACTTCAGTTTAGGATCTTCTTACTTAGCTTACTCTGTTTATATTTTAATGTACTTACTGTTTATAATTTTAATAAGCTTATTCACATTGTTTATAATTTTTTGTCCTAATATTATGTAACTTTCACAATTATCTATACCTTTTTGTATCTTATCCGTTCTAGTCCTAAAGAAGACCTGCAAATTAGGGTCGAAACGTTGGCTTTTAATAAAATAGTTTTGCCACTATTTAGCCTATTTATGACCGCCACCCCGGACCATCTCCTTCCTTTATAATGCAACGGTCAACTATTAAATTTTAAAAATATTAATATATAAAACTCTTTACAATTATACAAAAATATAAACAAATTAATTTTAAACATTCAATATTAGATTTGTTCGTCTAACAATAACTATGTTGAATTTTAACTCATAATAAAAACCCCCGCCATTTTTTTTTTTTTTTTTTGGGGGGGCCATCGCTTCCCACTCCCGCCCAATCAAAATCGAAAGTCTGGCCCTATGCTACAGATCTCAAACCGCTAATCAACAAATTATTGTGTAACGAAGTCGTGCTTATCCATCGTCAAGTTTATCCGAGAAAAGTCGTAAGCGCTGGTTAAAAGTATTAATTATATTGTGAAAGCTCACCATAATCTGTGAGAACGGGGCATCCATTATTGGTGTTTAAGATCTATGTGGCCTTTAATTAAGAAAAAAAGTCCGTGGGACCTCTTGTTACAATGATACCAGGTCTCATAACTCCGCCTGTCTGCAATTGTACTCGCATGTTTAATTGTAAGTCATAACTAAGAGGAACCTCTCGGGGTATAATGGTGGGTATTTGTGACGAGAAAGTGCTCCGCGCTCTGCTATGTTACCGTGTACCGTTTAAGAGTAGTTAGCATCCCATGTACTACAGTCAGTTTTGCTGTTAGTTGCTTTTTTAGTTTTTCTCGCCGACATGTTTTAGTAAATAATATTAGTTTCGAACATAAAGTTATAATAATTGAAGTAATAAAAAAAAAAGTTTTTATTTAATTTAAAGTCTGTTCCTCGGAGGTAAAGGACACTATATATATTTTTTTAGTAACTACGAAACAAGGTTTAATAATACAAAATGATAGAAAAACCGGCTCCCCGACCACAAACAAAAAATGTGACATTGTGTTCTTCACCTCCTGGGTACAGATTTACTAACTAAAAAACAAATTTTAATAGCTCTAAGTTATGAAAAATTGGGTCTTCTGAACAAAAATTTGACACTTTATCTCAAGTGTTCTTTACTTTCAGGCTACAGAACTGTATAACGACCTTCTCACAGTCTGTTTTAGTTGAGGTAGTTTGGAGAGAAATGGTGGTATCTTTTGCATAACTTTGGATAATATGCCGTCAACTATGAAATAAACATGGATAATACGAACGATACAGCTAATCGGCAGTTACGGAATGGACTTAATCCGTAACAACTATTAATATTAACTTTTATTTTATTTGATCATTTAACCATGCATTGACCTTTTTCATGACCTTTATCAAAACATTAAAGCACAAAGCCCTAGATAGCCAGGTCAAGCTATCTCTGATAGCTTAGAAATAGTTATCTAGAATGTATTGACTGGACTGAAGACACTTATCAAGACTTAGGGAACTATAACCGTTTTCAGCAAAAGAGCACTTTCTCACAGACTTTATATCAATTCTAAAAGATAAGGATATCAATTCTTAATAGATATAACTTCATTCACACGTTTCCTAGACCGTCCAGAATTGATTCATCCCCCCTACTATCCCTGAGCATATAACCCCCATGATCCTCAGACCAAATCCCTTATGCAGTTGCATTCTTGAGTCAGACTCTTCACTGTAGGAGACCTGGAGTGAACTGATGTAGTCAACTCATATATCCATAGTATATTATTCTGCATTTTAGATGCCATTTGTAACATTATGAATGAAAGCATTATTTATAAAGTCTCCACTGCCTCCGATTCGTTAACTGGCGATATGAAAAAGCGATACCTTTGCGTGGCTACCTAGTGCAGCACTGTGGGCTATTTTAGCAATCTTTCGGGATAAAAATACAAACATGCATCTGTATAAACAAATATGAAATATTAACAAAATTATTGATTATTATAAAGATAATAATAAAACACATTTACTTTTTTTTAAGATTTATTTAAAATTGACTTTGATTAGGTCTTCTGATTATTATACAAATAGGCAAACACAAAACGGTTCAGCCCCTTTTACTCCTCTATTATTCAACCAATTTTCTTCCTTCTTTTTTTGTTTAATAGATATTGACGAGCTTTAGTGTTATCAATAAATAAAAATATGAAATAGTATGTAAATAAAAATATAAATGGTAGTTTGTTCAAACCGGCTAATCTCCGAAAGTTCTTCACCGATTTTTTTTTAAATGTTGACACAACGTCGCAATAATATTTAGAAGTATTTCTGTATACGTTTCAT